AGGTTTTCGTGTGCTACTGTAACTTATGGGCTTAAATACTTAAATACCAGTATTGTTCCTAGGGTTCCTGATTACAAGTATAGTATCGCAGACCTCACATTAGTTCGTGTTCTGGTCGCCTGTGGCTCTCGAAGAAAATCTAAGAAGGGAAAAGGAAGCTCAGTACCTCCAACTTTTGCTTCAGAGTTTGGATCGACCGTTGAAGCCATGGTTGATGATATAAATCCTGCATTACCTTAAGGACCCTAAACTATGGGAATTATATATATGGTATATTCCTTATTATGGGTAATGCAGGATTTATATCATCAACCGTATGGCCCCTCCGCCCCTATGCCCCTTACACCTTGAACTGCCGATCCTTTCCCCGAGGCGAATCTCTGAGGTGCCACCCTGGAGACCTCAAGCACACAAAACCCAGCTATGTGGGGTACGGCTGATGATATAAATCCTGCAAGACCCAGAATAAGGAATATACCATAGTTCCCATAGTTTAGGGTCCTTGAGGTAATGCAGGATGTATATCATCAACAGTATCTCATAATCGAAATGTTCCTGCCGAGTTCCTTAGGAAGCCTTAGTACATCTGTAGTATAGCTTACTCCAAACCCTAGAGCCTTAATCGTCGACTAATCGTGTATCAAGGCCATTTAGATGGGTTTTTGTGAATGAACTTTTGTGTGAAGGTACCGTAACGCTAAAGGGCTTACCACGCTTTTTGTGGACTTGTATATAAGGTCTTCGGGAGCTTGACTGCCGCGACCATATCAAGCACATTAAAGGTGTTCCGAAGGGTGGGGAGGAACTTGACTCAAGGTGCCAAAACCCGAAAATGTAGCAGTTTACGAAATATCCATGTCATGGTACACACCCTATAAGCCCAAAGCAATGTAGATGAAGTTCATAGAAATCTCAAGTCTTCTATGCATCGGCCTTTGTTCTATATTCGCGCAGTCTAAGTCTTCACAGCACCTTAGGAACCCTCAATGCTGAATCCGAAATCCGGGCGAAGCCTAGTTAAAAGAAAATTCTATCCTCCTGCACTTTCGACCCAGCCATATGGGAGTTGTTTGGTTACAACACCCCAAACAGTCCCCAAACCCTAAACTGTGGACCCAGCCATGTGGGAGCCTTTTCGCTGAAACGCCGAAACCCTAAACTTAAGACCCCGCCATGTGGGAGCCTGTCGTGCCCAAAACACAATGCAGCCCTCAAGCCCAAAACTCTTCAAGACCCAAAGGTCTTAGACCCCATTATCCCAAGCGCTATAGTGATTCCCAGAAAGTTGGAACATAGATTTAGGATGACTCATGATGGCATTCCCCTATACTTTAAGGGCATGAGGCTAATGATGTTCCAACTTTCCGGCTTCTACTCTCAACTGAAAAGAATCACAGAGCTAGACAATTCTTGAACATGGCTGTTGAAGTTTAGTGTGTCGAGCTTGGTGTGTACTTAAGATGGAGTCAGTATGCAGCTCCACAAGGCTACCATCAAACAATCCCCAAACGCGTAAAAGGCAGCCGAAAGGAAGCTCGGTGCAAGCATGCGGCCAGAGCTGCAGGCACATGTTTAGAATACGGTTGTCGGGGAGCATACTCTAGCAACAGTCATTATGAAGTGCCCGCAGGCGCAGTATTGGTAATTATCTAAGCTTCTTCTTTACGTTGCGCCACCATGTCCAGACATATGACGGGGTGAATCTCGGGGTGAAGGTGTAGTATAGGGCCTTGGGGTCCGGGGTCTTAAGCTTCTGGGCTTGTCGTCGTTTGAGCCTTTTTCTTTAGGGTTTAGGGTGTAGGGTTGAGGTTTAAGGTTCCGGGGTTTACGGGGGCCTCTTAGTGCGCTAACGGTGAACACGCCCGGTTCAACATTTTTGAGCGAGGCTAGGCAAGCCTGATGCCAAAGGCTTTCGGACTGGGAAGTGGCGAAGCTTGAATACTTAACTCGTATAATACTATTCTTTCATATTCTTTTGGGTTGCTATATGATATAGTATGATACTATACCCGAAAATCCTGTTGGTAAGGCCTTGCAGGGTGTCTTTTGAGCAAGAGCTCTTTCGGCAAGTCAAAGTGTTGTCATGAACTTATAATTGGAGTCAGCTGTTAGCAAAGGTTGCCGGAGCCCTTGGGGACCAAAGTAAGTAACAACAAAGCCCAGTACGTATGGGCCACTATTTGGGTGAGCAAATGATTGGTAGTTACTTGCACCCATACTCTAACTCATAGGTTAAGGCTTTAAGGCCCAATGTCCGATACTATATAGGTACATAGACCCTTCAAAGCCAGACGTTATAAAGTCCACTGGAACTAGCCCTTGCAGGAGGGTGAAGCATATCTGGGGTTTCAGATGTCTAGTTACTTCGGATTCGGTAGGAGGTTGAGGAGTTCCGGGTTGGCATTGTGGTCAAGTATTCGTCCTGCCGGAGTCGCAGCAGGCCAGTTGCAAAAGGGTTGGCATTGGGTTTAAGGTGTTTAAGGCTTATCTAGTATGTCTTTGTGTCCAGCGTGGCCGATGCTGACCTTGCCAGCCTTTCCTTCGTAGTTTGTACAGCATCACTCCTCGTGCACATTGCCATTAAGGCTGTTTCATGGCTGTCGACGGTTATGGCCCTCGGGTCTAGCAACAATTGCTGTTACAAATCAAACTACACGATGTGCGGTAGCACAACGTCAAAAACTCGTGCGTGACTAGCCGTAGACCACATAGGTTTCACAGCATCGGGCTAGCACCGGCGAACCTTGCCTGGCTTGCTGAGTGTGAGCGCCGAAGACATGTCGTGGTTGCAAGTAGCTCAGCCGCCAGCCTCAGGAGGAAATCCTACGGTTGATGATATAAGTCCTGCATTACCTTAAGGGCCCTAAACTATGGGAATTATGGCATATTCCTTATTATGAGTATTGCAGGATTTGTATCATCAACCGTAGCATCCCTGGACTCCCATGCCATGGCTCCAGCCGTTTGGCTAGCCTAGACCTTAAACCTCAAACCCCAACACCCGACGCTGGATTAGATGAACCAAGTCGAAGCTGTCTACCCGAGCTTTAGTGCCCCGATGTTTCTCATTTGTCGTATCATAAGGGCCCAACTTATGTTTTACTTGATGTGTTTTCCTTGTTGTGATTCAAAGGATGCTTGAGAGACCTGAACCTCCTGAGACGACTCTTTGGAGGCTTCGAAGTTGCTCGACATTGTCGAAACCTCAGCCATGGATGAGCTTGGCAGGTTTAGGGCTCTGATATCCGAAATTCGTGTTTCAAGTTTTGGGGTTTCGATTGCTGAGCTCGGGTTTTGGATGCTTGAGCCTTGTAAACTTGTGTTGAGGCTTTTATGCTGCGCATCTTGAAGCTTCCCTAAACCCTAAACCCTAAACCCTAAACCGTGCATTTGGGGGACTGGGGGGCTGCCTTGCATTTGAGCTAGCATGGTGCGAAGCTGTTGCTGTCGTCTGCTTACATAGAAACATATGGGTGGTTGTCAAAATTAGGGTCCCTTTTTGGGTCCTTATTATAATACGGCACCTAATATTTAGGGTACCCAGAAAGAGACCATAACTTTGACAACCACCCGTATCTAAGTAGCCTACATCGTTTAGCTCAGTCAGCACAACCCGTAACCCCCTGAAGCCTGAACCGTGTGACAGAGTCCGACGCGCTTTCATACGCTAATTGAAGTGCAGGGCTCTAGGCCGTCACGTGGATGTGTATGGTATACCTAGAGGCTCCATAGCAGTTCCTTTTGGGGTTCATATATAGAATCCTATAAGGTAATCCCAAAGAGGAACTACTGGGGCCTCTGGGTACTCCGAATTGTGAGTTGTTGTGCTGTAAAAATGTGAGATCTGTGCTGTCGTTCCGTGTGCTGTTTAATGTTAGGGCTTAGGCTTTGGGGGAATCCTAAACCCCCCTACCAAGGTGGAGTGCGAGCTTATTGCCAACTGTTCTGCTGCAGCACGGGGCCTCACCTGTCATCGATGCCCATGTTCAGGTTGTGCGGACATGGGATCCCTCCATCTCTGACATGTCAAGCCCAAACGGTCCAAGTACTAGTATCGTAGGTACTTAGTAGGTATCTGGGCCCCACAAGTACATACATATATATATATATATATATATATATACACTATACTTTGGGTACTGCCCCCACTCAGTAACAGTTGGATAAGATTCATAATATAGAGATAGACGGACCTTAATAGTAGCCCTATTTCAAGACTGTGACTGTATGGGGGCCGTACCCAAACTATCTATTACTTAAACCCTTTGGGAAGGGTTTCTGGCCAGGCTCCAGGCTTGAAATTTCTCGCTCGGAATCTCGAGTTGCCCGCTTGGGGACCGGTAGGCATGTGTTGATGCCGGGAGTGTGTTCCGGTAGGCATGTGTTGATGCCGCGAGTGTGTTTCTCAGTATTCGCATTTCCCAAAGCCCAAAACATTAAACCCCAACTAAACCAGGCTGTTCAGTGGCACAGTCTTTACTTTCAGGTTTCTGGGTTCCGAATATAAAGTAGGAAGCCCAAAAAACCTTTTACTTTTTCCCAGTGGGTTACTGAACAGCCTAGTAAATGCAGAAACCTTCAACCCTAAACCCAAAACCCTAAACCCTAAACCCAAAACCCTAAACCCTAAACCCTAAAAACCCTGAGGTCATGAGCTTGATCAACCGCTTCAAAATGGGCGAGATCAAGTCCCCTTCAGGCTTGGCAGCTTATGACCCCTTAAGCCGAACCGTGTGAGGGTCTATAGGGTCTAGGCTGATATCCAGGCGCTGTGGGATTTGCAGTGTCTCTTGTAGGGTTTAAGTTTTTGCACGCAAGCTTAACCCCGCAAGTCTAAAGTTTGAACTCTGCCTGCCACGAATTATGGTCAAGGTTGCAGGTGTGCTTGCATCCAACATGCCGGAATGTGCAAAGTCAAGTCCTGTCGCGTGGTTCTGGCTCAAGCCTCCTTGCAAGGCATACAGACCCCCATCGGGATTGACAAATCTTGTGATCCATCCATGTATTCGCTCACAACAGCTGCGGCATCGAAGGCGCAAAGGGCTCAATGAGGGAATGCGAGCGGAGACAGAGCTAACGAAATAGAGAGAGAGAGAGAGAGATACCGACAGACATAGAGAGAGAGAGAGAGAGAGCGAGAGAGCGAGAGAAAGAGAGGGGGAGAGGGAGAGGCAGACAGGGCTAGCAAGAGACCGAGGGAGGGAGGGACGATCAGTGAGGCTTTTTCCGGACAAGAATGGCCTCCTTTACCTGCTGCTGCTACTGCTACAGCCACTGCTGCTGTTAATTTGCAAACCCTATTGGATGATATAGAGATATTCTATATAGGTGCCATCCTTTCCTTCATGTCCGTCTGTGCCAGACCTTCTTGACCAGGACGCGATGGACTCTGGGCGTGGAGAATTCTTGGCTCCAACGCTGGCCAGCCTGCGCGCCCATGAGGTGCATCATTCCCCTCCGAAGCCCGTGCACGACCAGGACTGCAAGGGCCGTTGGGGTTTGGGGCTGCAGCCACGTCAGAATAATGGCTCATGAGAGCTTCCTCAGCACAGGCATAGCTCAAAATGCCACAATGCCATTACACGCTAGAGCTCGAAGCCCTGCACGCAACTCTTTTCGCCCCTATGTATACTATAGCGGTTTAGGGTTTAGGGTTGTATACTTGCAAGCAAGCCTGCAGCAAAAAGGGTTGTATACCTTGGACCAGAACCCACCTGAGCACGAGTTCCGTAGAGCTGAGAGGATCGTTTGGAGTCGTCTTCGACTGACATGCCGGAAGCTTGGTCTATCTTGGGGATACTTTTCTCGTAGTGCTTTCTGTGTTTCCATAGTTGGAAGCCCCCTGAACCCCAAACCCGAAATCACAGAACCCTAAACCCCAACCCCAAATCCTAGAACCCTAATCCCTAAACCCTTAACCCTTAATCCCTCAACCCCTAATCCCTCACCCCCTACCCCCGAAACCCCTAATCTAGTCCCTAAACCCTAAGATCAGTGTGTCTTTCCGAAGAGTGGCCCAGGAAGAGTCGGCGATCTTTCCGGCCGAGCCACCAGAAGCCTCGGAGCCCGCGAACTTCACGATGTGCCTTAGATCGGCGTAAGGTTTGGGATTTTAGGTCTTAGGTCTAGGGCTTAGGGCTTAGATGTGCCTTAGATCGGCTTAAGGTTCGGCTGGGGTTTAGGGTTTAGGGCTGGCTTAAGGTCTTTATAAAGACCTTTTCTATCTATCTGTCGTTAAGGGAGGGAGAGAATCTATGTTTGAGAAAGAGAGAGAGAGAGAGAGAGAGAGAGAGAGAGAGAGAGAGAGAGCGAGATAGTTAGATAGGTAGATAGATAGGTAAGTAGGTAGATATATAAAGAAAAGTAGATTAAGTAGATAGTTAGATAGACAGGCAGACAGATAGACGGATAGATACTTGTTACACACTCGGCACACATGCATACGTGCGCGCATGTGCAAGAGAATGTTATCTATATATATATATATATGTATGCATTTACATGTATATGCATATGTATCTGTTTTTTTACATTTACAGGCATATTTTATGTCCTACATACATTCAATGTGTGTGTCTGTATGTGAGTACGTATGTATGTACGTATGTATGTATGTATGTATGTATGTATGCATGCATGTATCTGTAGGTATGTACATATACATATGTATATACATATATATATATATATATATATATGTATATATATACATGTGTATATATATATATATATATACATACATACATCTATATAGGTGGTCGGGCATGTGTGTTTACATATTTGTCAGAAACGCTGCACATGTGCGTTGACATCGTTGTGTTTGTGTATAAATCGGTGTTTAGTATGCGTGCTGTGTCGGCAAACCCTCGGAGCAATGGTGAGGTGGGAATCCGAGCAAGTCAGCTTGCCTGCTTCGAAGGAAGAGGCAAAGGCTCCAACGAAGTCGTCATCGCAGCGTGAAGTTGTGACCTCCGTTGATGAATGGTTCAATTTGGGGGAGATTTTCGGCTGCTTTATGGCCAGAGACAAGTGCTGATGTTAAGCAATGCTGCTAAGCAGCAGTCGGTTTAGTGGAAGCACTACGTACACGGGCGCCCCAACTGGCGTCACTTTGTGTGCAGACGGTGCTCCTCCTCTGCACCTCAAACTTGCGCTACTACATGTTGTGGCTTTTTGCTTATAAAGAAGCTTTTCTGGTTGAAACACCGTGCTTATGCTTCAAATACCCTAAACCCTAAACCCTAAAAAAAACTGTTTCATACCGGACGTGCAGTTGAGTAATAACGGGCACGGTGGAAATCCAGAGCCTATAAAGCTGCTGCCACTACGGTTGATGATATGAAACCTGCATCACCCACTATACGGAATATACCATAATTCCCATAGTTTAGGGTCATGGAGGTAATGCAGGATTCTTGTCATCAACCGTTCTTGAGGATCATGGGACTTAGTGAGTAGGGGCTGTGCATACAGTCGCAGGCAGGATAAGCACAACAGTACACCGATAGCTCGACTGATACACTTACTAAGTCCCCTGATCCTTCAAGTACTTCACGGCCTGACCGCATCCGGGTGCCCGGGGACCTTTGATTGTCGTTTCTAGTCTCCAGCTGCTACAAGCTGTCTTGCAGGAACCTGTGCATCCTCCTGTCTTCTGGTTGCTTGAACATTTGGGCCCATGGGTTACGACAGACACTACCAAGTTGATTGAAAAGGGCGTGGTTCAGAGCAGCAGGGGTGTAGTACCCGGAGAATCTTAGGATTCGGCTCAAGATCCATCTGTTCGAAGCTAAACGTACTCAGGATTTAGGGCTTGAGCGCTAGTTTCAGACAGTCCGGGCTTTAATATTCCCAAAGGGCCCAACGCACCTGTATAGTAGGATCTAGGGTTTCTTTATCAGGAATTACTTCTACGACTTGGGGAAGTATCCCCCATAACAGTATCTAGGACCCTGTGGGATTGCACCCAGCATCTGATGACTGATAGCTGGCTCCGTATGTTACGTCGGTGCTGGGAAGCAGGGGCCACCACTGTTCAAATAGTCAAATCGAAGGGCTGGGGGTTTTAGGTTGATGGGTTGGTCAGGGTTCAAGGGAAATACAATAAGGCTCCACAGTATATAGTTCCTTTTTGTGATTCATATTTAGAAGCCTATGGGGTAATCCCCAAAAGGAACTACTATGGAGCCTCTGGGTCAGGTACAGTTTCAGGGTAAATAAAGGTTTGAATTCGAGTTTGTGCCTTTTGCCTGTAGTCTTCAGGTTCAACGCCTTCGTTTAGGGATGAACGCATCGTTGAGGCATATGCCCTCGCCCCTGGTTCAGGAAGTTGGTTTGGGGGTTTGGGGTTTCGGCTTTAAGGACCTGTAACACTAAACCCCTAAACCAGTAAACCCCAAACCCTATACCCTCAAACCCTAAACCCTAAACCTCGACGAAAAGGAGCCCTTAAACAACAACAAAAAAAATCGAAGTTCAGAAGGGTGGCTTACATGGGGCTTTGGGGGTTCGGCTAGAAGGAGCTTTCGAGGGTTTAGGGCTTTAGGGGTTTAGGGTTTGGAGGCCCCAGCCCGTGACTCAAACAAATGGGTTTAGAGGGAGCCTTAACGGAACCCCGAAAGAGAACCCATAACCCAAAGGCTCCATGTACCTTTATAGCAGATACTTAAGCCTTAAAGGGGTCCCTATATGGGTACTTTAAGGCCTAAGTATATACTATATGGGTACATGGAGCCTTAGGGTAAGCGCATAAACCCTAAACCCCTAAACCCTAAACCCTAAACCCCTAAACCTTAAACCCTAAACCCTAATAAGCGAAACCTCACCGGCCCTATGCGTACTGAGCTTCGCACGCTGGGCTCCCCTAAGCGCCAGGTGGCAACACCGACGCAGCTCCCAAGCCGGCCCCTGCCCCAGACCTCCAGAGAGCCCGATAGCCCTTTAAAAAAGGAATACCTAGGGCTAGGGCTCCTTTAAGGGGGTCTATATAAGGGATCTATAGGGTTTGGGTTTTAGGGGATTCTGATACCCTTTAAAAAAGGAATATATCTTAAATCAGACTATGAAGCCCTAGATAATTTAAGCCATGTATTCCTTAATTAAGGGGTATTGGGCTCTCTGGGCCTCCCGTCGACTCTAAGATTTGTTCCTTTTTATGGTTGACCAGTTTTATGGTTAGGATCCTAAAGAGAGATAATTTGGATAACCAAAAAAAGGAACTACAATGGAGACTATAGGTAAGACTTGTTCTTGCGGGTGCTACAGAATCTTGTCGGGGTCTTTCTTGCGGCTAGCGTAAGAGTTGTTCTCTGGCATTCTGTGGGGCTTCATCATCGGGATGTTATGTGTAGTCTACTGTGTAGTGCTTCGGTACAGGCATTGGGAAGCTCGGACACATGACGGCGACGGCGTACCTGCAGGGATGTGCTTTGGCCGTCTAGGTTTCCAGATTCAGCTATGCGCTTAGCACAGAGGGTATTTAGCAACAACAAACGACTGTCCCTTTCTTGTCTCGATGTACCATACAGAAGTACATCTCATGCCGCATGCCCAGCTCAAAACATTCAGGCCCCTACATGATGTTCACACGCCATATCGGCCCTTCTCCCAGCACCGAGCTGATTTCCAAGGCCCTTAAAGGACCGGAGTTTTATCGGAAACTCTGCACCCCAAACCCCCGGAACAAATCTCTTATCACTTCGTTTTGCTCCGCGAACCTTAACTTCGAAGCCCCTATACAGAAACCTAAAACACGAAACACAAAACCGTTACCATTTTGTGCCCCAAACCTTAGCATCCAAATCGCCAAGCAAAAAAACATATACTAAACAAAGCCGTAAGCAAACGTCTGTTATCATCGTTGCCCCTGCCTGCTTCGAGCTCAGGCGCCCTTTGAGCTGGCTAGGATCCGTAGCAACTTCGGAGGAATCGTCAGGGGTTAGTGAGTTTAGGGCTTCAGGGTGTTGGGGTTTAGGGTTCAAGGTTCAGCCCTATCGGAAGTTGAGGGTTTGGAGGGTTTGGGTTTTATATGGAGGTTCATGGCCCGGGGCTTTGTTGTGTTGGGGTTTGGGGTTCAAGCCTCTGTTGTGGGTCGTAGACTGGCTAGACTTGAGTCCAGTGGCAAAAAAAGGTACAGAGGCTTCAAAGGTTCGTCTCGTCTTTGCAGGGGTGGAGGATGTGAGTGATGCCCGACAGTATGCAACAAAAGTGGTAGGATGTTGCCATCCTGACCATTAAGAAGAAGACCGGTAGCTGGTAGTTAAACAACTTTAAACAACTAACACGACAAGTGAATTCGGTCACCATTTTGCCCCATCTTTGGCATCTGAACCCGGCTTCCTGGATGAACAGAACCTTGGCAAAATGGGGGTTGGGGTATTGCTTTTTTGGGTGCTCGAGCTCGGAGACCAATACCGACAGCCCTTAGTCTTACGTAATATCCGAAGCCCTATAACCCAAAACCCAACGCCCTAGCATCCGAAACCTTAACCCACAGCCCCCAAAGTCACTAAGCCTTCAACTGTAAGCCGTAAATTATATTGGGGTCGGAATAGTTTGTAGCAGTATCGCTGTAGAGTTCCTAGAAGTATACCATAAATAATGGACCCGCGAATCTAAACCATATTCCAAATCATAAGGCGCCCACGGTTGACTTCTGAATTGTTACCCGAGTGTCAGCGCCGAAACTCCTAAACCCACCCTAAAGCTCAGCTAAATAGTAGGATCCTTATTATAAGGAGTCCCCAAATACGGTACCCCTAATTTTCGGAAACTCCTAAACCACAAAGCCTTGCAAGGACGCGCAAAGGCTGATCTGGCTGGCCTGCGCAAAGTGACGCCGGGGGGCCCCGTCGCTGTTTTACAGACTTGGGTTCAGGGGTTTGGGGGTTTAGGAGTTGGGGTTTATGTAGGGTTTGGGGTTTTGGCATCGGTTTAGGGTTTAGGGTGTGCGATTGCACAAGTCCTGATGCAAAAAAAGGGTTTAGGAGTTAGGGTTTACGGGTTTGGGGTTTAGGGTTTGGGGTTTAGGGTTTATGTTCACTGCGAAAGCTTCCGATGTGCTGCCTTTGTCCTCAATTGTCGTGCTGTCGGTTGCTGTGCAAGGCTAGCGGCCAGGGCGCCGGTTTATGCAGGGTTTAGTTTAGGGTTTAGGGTTTTATGCTAATCAAGCCTGTGGAAAAAAGGGTTTTATGCTTTAGATTCTGTGATCCAGTCCAGCCGAAATAGGGTCAGTCAAGCATGTAGCCACAGAGCATGCTTTGAGATGCAGGTGGGCAGGCGGTGCTCATCATATTTCACTTATGCAGCGGAAGGGGCAGACGAGCAGTAGTATATTTCGTAGTCAACCTCCAGAGGTTTATGTTCTCATTCTTCCCTAAACCCTCTAACCCTAAACCTTTGAACCTTACTGCAAATCCCTCTAAACCCCAAGCCCTAGACCCGTAATTCTTCCCTAAACCCTTTAACCCCAAACCTTTAAACCTTAAACCCCTCTAAACCCCAAGCCCCTTTAACCCGCAAAAGTTCATGGCGGAGCAAAGAGCGCTAATTTCTTGATGTGTATGTCCCAAAGGCTCCATGTACTTCTATAGCAGATACCTATAAGCCTTAAAGGGGTCCCTTGATACTTTACGGCCCATAAGTACATATACTATATGGGTACATGGAGCCTTAGGGTGTGTGGGGGCGGGGGCGGATTTGTCTTTAGGATTTAAAGGAAGATGGTATCCGACGCCCTTCTGAGGTAGAGCTCATCAGGAATCCTTTGGACAAGGCCCTAAACCCTCCTGGACCCGATATAAACCTTTCCCTTTTAAGGTTCCCTATTCTGATTTCCTTATATGCGGGTTTCCGAAAGTAGGGGCACCTTATTTGGGCCTTCTTATAATAAGGATTCTACTATTTGGGGTACCATGAAAGGGTCCCCTATTTTCGGAAACTCCCATGTAAGTCCTTCAAAAGGATATTTAGGGTCCAGGTAAACCCTATGACCTCCAGCATCATCCGCGCGTTTCTGCCCAAGCCGTGTCCACATCGGAAACCCGGCTCCCAATTCGACAGTGGGTATGATTAGGGATCCTTAGAAACAGGGACTTTTCATCGGGAACATCCCACGTACCGGCATCCCAGCATTGGAACCCGGTGATTAGTTTAGAATACATCGCCAAGTCGCCGCAAGAAAGCCCTCAACCAGTTCCCCGTCAGACCGTACGCCCTAAAGCCCAAACCCTTAAATGTGGAGCCTTGCCTGCCTTGTGCGAGAGTGAGCATCGAAACCACAGAGAGATGTGGCCCTGCCCTCGACTTGCGGTGCCACTGCGCGCCTCCTTCGTACGGGGCTTTGCTGCAGCGTCCCCCCTGCGCCGCGGGCAAAGCTCGGCACCCTGGCTCGGTAGTGTTTGTCTTCAGGACAAACCGTAACCGAAAACTGGCTAAGTAAGGTTCGATTCCACAGGTACCTATAGTCTCCATTGCAGTTCCTTTTGAGGGTTACCTAATAGGATCCTAATTGTATATTTTGGTTAAACCAAAAAAAGGAACTACAGTGGAGACTATAGGTAGAATACACGGCAAATTGATGCAAATTGGGACTTTTAAGCGGCATTTGGTTTTCAATACAGAAGAGGAGCCGGGAGCGCGCTTGTGGTGTCTTTGTAGCTTAGTAGAAAAAGTGGTACGCTCACGTTGAGGGCTTAATTAGTGGTGAACTGGGGAAGTTATTATAGAACCTAAGCGATAGGACCCCGAGTAGTACGGTTGATGATAGAAATCCTGCATGACCCATAATAGGGAATATACCATAATTCCTGTACTTTAGGGTCCCTAAGGTAATGCAGGTTTTATATCATCAACCGTAGGAACCTTATCAGAAGTAGGGAGTTTCGACTCTAGGGTTCAGGACTTGATGCTGCTGTCTTCTTTTCTTGGCCTTTTGGCACTGCTTTGGCAACAACCCCTACCCAGAGGCTCCATGGTAGTTCCTTTTTGGGAGTACCCTATAGGATTCTAAATTATGAACCCCAAAAAGGAACTACTATGGAGCCTCTGGGTAAGTACAGCCGGCCTTGTAACTGGCTGTGCGCCCTAAACCCTAAACCGTGCAATGCGGGCTTCGTCCTTGCTAGGTACTTGGAGGTTCATGGGTAGTTATAAATGGGGTTATAAGTCCCCTAATAGGGGTTATGACCATAGTTACCCCAATTATAACCCCACCTATAACTACCCATGAACCTCCAAGTAGGAGGGAAAAAACCCTAAACCGTGGGATGACGGACTAAGCCCTTATAGACTTCGAAGGCGACGGGTTTGGAAAAGGAGGGACCCTTAATGGGGACCCCTACCCTATCATGGGCTATATAATGGGTATATATATATATATATATATATAATAGCTATATTAAGGGTATGTACCTAGGGGTCCTTCCGAAGGGTCCCTCCTTTTACCCTTGGATTCCAAGAGCTACCCAAGGACTCCAATACCCCTTATGATTAGGGAATATTCCATAAGTCATATTAGGGATCCTACTATAATTTAAGGTATATTCCTTAGTTAAGGGATATTGGAGTCTCTCGATACCTACAGTGCCAGAGTGGAACTTCAGCTGCCAGCGTGATTCATGGATAACTACGGCTGATGATCTAAATCCTGCATTACCCATGAGAAGGAATATGGCATAATTCCCACAGTTTCGGGTCCTTAAGGAAATGCATGATTTATATCATCAACCGTAGTATGATTTGTGATGCTTGTCCACGGGCAGCAAGACACTCTAAAGTGAATTGGAGCTCCTTCCCTGTTTCTCCGTGTCGTTGCTGCTTGGTTCTGATAGTGATGACTAAACCCTAAACCCAAAACCCGAAAGCCTAGACCATAGGATGAACCCGGAAGCCTCTAAAGCAAAGACCGTAGGATGACGTCACGATGGGTGAGCGAGCTGCAGTCCGCACGAACAAGATGCTCAACAAGTGCCTCAGCCACACTCAGGTCTGCAATGTCCAGCAATTGATTGTTCAGTTACTAAGCGTTCCTATCTCGGCATTTCATGAGAGGTATTTATTTAGAATTTCAAGTTGCCTCAGTATGATTCCCGTCGGCAATTAAGGATATGCGTTCCCGTGGGGCTTGTCCTGGGCTCGGACAGTGTATATAGTCTTACTACGTACTCAAGCCTAAACCCTAAACCCTATACCCCCCAAATCCCAACCTCCACGGAGTCACGCACTTGCCGACTTTTCCTCTTCCGGAGCCCAGAAGAGGAAGTCAGGGTCCTGTTATACCAATACTTCCGCAAGCAATACGGTGAATTAGGGACCCAAAAAGCACATAAGCATAAGCATTTTATGGGGATATCCCTACCATATTGGGCTTCATTATAAGGGGGTTTATATGGGATATCCCTATCTTAAGTTTTGCTTATGTGCTTTTTGGGGGCCCTAGTGAAGTATTTTAAGTAGGTGGCGAGCGGCCTCACCGCCATGGCCACGAAGGTCGCAGAAAGGTTCAATTGATTTTCTCCGCATGTTTAACCCCATCCCTCCAGGGACCTCATAGTAAGGGCCCTAGACCCCTTAAGGACCCCATAATGAGGTCCCTGGACGCAGAGGGTAACAGCCACCGGTTCATCAGTGTAAACTTGGCGGTGCGGGCCCGTCAGCCACGCAGTTAGCATACAGTATATTATATATTTGTTGAGATATTTATCAGTCCGCATGTTTAAACGTCGTCACCGTATAATGTAGGGGTCGGGAAGATTAGCAAAGCGATTTCTGTGTACTCTCTTTGTACTACGAACTACAGCATACCCCCACACCCAATTCTACTTTTTGAAGTCTTTTACAATTAAACTGTCTCTTCCGGGCTACTTCTGGTGAGCCACAGGTATTCCCACCCCATTGGGCGCACGATCTGCTAGTTATGACTGCAAGCCAAATCCCCTAAACCCTAAACCCTTAAAACCTCAGCCCTCAATTCCCTAAACCCTAAACCTGAATCATAAACCCTTATAAACCCTAAACCCTTCTCCCTGAATCCAAAACCAGCGATGCAGGATCTCGGGCCTGTACGTCAGCAAGACCATAGGCTACAGCAAGGACTATGCAGACAGCTTCCAAAGGGTGTTTGGCAAAGCCACATCTGAAGATGCGAGCAAGAGAGGCAGGATTTCGGGGGCTAGGTGTTCAGGGTTTCGGGGTTTACGGATCACGGTTTTGGGTGCTTGGTGTGTTTTTCCTGTCTTAGTGAGTGGAACATCCCTGCCGACTTGTTCAATCTTTCTGTAACCCTAAACCCTAAACCCCTAAACCCCTAAACCCTAAACCGTGGTTCGGGTCTGAATCTTGACGGCTCCACATGCTTGAAATTCGGACTCCACTCGACCCGAACCCACATCGGACACAACGTGATACGTGGCGCCCTTGCTATTGGGCAGATGATGTGAACGGCGACGTTCTCGGTCATGACATTGATGATGACGCTTATGATGAGGATGCCATGGTGATGATTATGGCAGTTGAGAGTGTGGTGATTGCTGCTGCTGTGTGTGCTTTTGCTGCTCACTAAGCCCAACTAACTTTTGTGGCTAAACATCTTGTGCTTCTCGTCCGACGAATCTTGCGCAGACCCCTAAACCCCGTACAGAGCCCCAACGCCGAGCCCTTCCAGGCCAAGTTGGGAACCTCCGCACGGTGGACTTTGAAACGGGACCTCTTGGCTTAGAGATCGAATGGAGCGCTCCCCCGGCAACTTGGCTTCGGCAAGTGACGTGGTTAGCTGGCGTTAGAGGTTGTAGGGCTTCCGAGAGGGTCCATGTACACAACCATTATGGAACTAGGTCCTAAAAGGCCATTCCTTTCATGGTTTTGGAGCCCTAATTCCATCATAGTAATATATATATATGTATATATATATGTATATATATATATATATATGTATATATATTCATATATATAGATATACACATACATATATATATATATATATATACATATATATATATATATATATATATGTATATGTATATATGTATGTATATATATATATATATACATATATATATATATATATATATGTATATATATATATATATATGGACCCTCTGGGCTTCATGAGTTATCCAGGTTCGATTGCGATATACTGGAAGCGCTGCTATCAGGGTCAGGCGTCAGAAAAACTACTGCGGGAGGAATAGCGCTCTCTTGATTCCCACACTCTGAAATGCTTCTTCATCTTCACAGCGCCCATTCAAGGCCTACAACTCTACAGCGTTCTGTGGAAACACCTGGGGGTAAACCCTCAACCCTTAGCCCGTAGTTGTTCTGTTTGCTACCCGGCCATTCGGATTACCTCCTGGCGATGCTGGAGGAACCCCTACAGGACCCGTAAAGATCCTTGATGTATCGGTCCAGGGACCCCTAAAGCCTAAACCCGTTCAGACGGAAAAAGGAGCTTAATTAAACAAACTCATTATGCGACTGTCCAAGTCGCGACCCGTAGGACGAAAGCAGAATCCAAAAGTAGAGCTTCAGACTAACACAGTCTCTACCCCGTATCGGAAGGCAACATATGGGTGGTTGTCAAAATTGGGGTCCCTTTTTGGGGTACCCCAAAATAATAGGTGCCGTACTATAATTAAATAGGCCTCTTCCAGATCATCTCGGCTGGGCTGGGTAGGAGCAAGTCTTCAGCATTTGTGCCTCAGGTGCTTCTGGCCGTGGCAGCCGACAGTGCCGCCGCAAATGCCGGCCTCATAGCCGGCCAGGTGGGAATCGGGGTATAGGGTTTGTAATATAGGGGCCGAAATAATTACCAAGAGTATTTTGGGGCTTCCTTATTACAGTTATAATATAATGGGCCCCCAAACCCTATCCTAATCAATAAGGCCCAATATTAGGGCATGTGCAGAAATCCTTGTGAGCATTGTTGCCAGAATGACACGGAATGCCATGATGGCAGTCCAGCACAAGATCAGGAGCGTCTACTACAGGGGCCTTAATATTGCCTATACTATACATTTGGGGGGGTTCCTTCTTAAGAGTAATTATAGTATAGTATACGCCAACACCTTGTTCTGGTTATCAAGGCCCCTATATTAGTTGTCATGCGCACCGCACGGCACTTGGCTCACAAAATCGGCCCGCAGACGCCTCGGTCAGGCGCCCCGCAGCCCCAAGGCCACAGTCGAAGCCCGAAACCCTGGTTTGGGGTTTAGGGTTTAAGGTTTAGGGGTCTAGGGTTTAGGGTTTGGGTTAGGGGCTGACCTAGACCCCCCCAAATACCCTCTAATACCCATTACTAAGGGCCGTAAGGACTCTGGTAAAGGGCCCTTGGAGGGTGCTGCGAGGAGGACCTTTAACCTCTAGGGGCTTCTTAAATCCGACGATAATTCAAAAGTTTAACCTTAGGGTACTCACCCACGAAGTCAGGGTTTAGTAATTTTAGGTTCGGAGCCAACAAGAAGCCCCTAGGGATAGCTTGTTGGCAACATGTCCGGCACGGCGCTCCGCCGCTGCGCCACAGCTCTGGGTGAGATCCCGGAAGTGGAGATGACGCAGCGGAGGTCCTCCGGCTGAACAGAAGTTTCCTAATCCCTCCAGGGACCTCATAGTTGGGGCTAGACCCCTTAAGGACCCCATAAAAGGGTCCCCGGAGGCATAGGGTTTCATTTTGAGGGTAGGAATAGCGCGTAACAGCAGTTCCTGTCAGGCAGATACTAGATGGAGTTTAGTGGCAATTTAGTGTACCCCCCAACCTCCGCTCGAATTATCATGGCGGCCCCCTGTATGTTGAATAAATGCTTTAGCATTTTGTATGTAGGTCTAATCTAGAATTTAGAGCGGCGTGCGCATAAGGCTCATATGAGCCTTCAGTTATGGCGGGAGCGGGGGTGTAGGGCTTCTGGTTTGACCCAAATTTAGAGAACGACCCATACAGCACGCTTATAGGAGTCCTTTAGAAGCCCTTATGGATCCCTTTAAGGAGGGTTATTAGGGTTTCCGAGGTACAATTGCAGGCTAGTTTCAGTTTCCATCGCTTGGGGTTGAGGATTTGGGGTTTCAGGATTGGGCCTGCCAGTTTAGGATTTTTAGGGATTATAAGTAGAAGCCCAACAGTTGGAAATCCCATAGCCTCAGTCCTTAAGAGTCATCTATGGGGAATCCCAGCACTATTTGGCCTTAATCCGGTTTCCAACTTTATGGGGTTTACTGTAGGGTTTAGGGGTTTTAGGGTTAGGGCTTTTAGGGCTTTAAGTTTTTAGGGTTTTCAGGGTTTAGGGTTTTTATAGTCTTAGAGTGTTTAGGGTTTAGGGAAGGACTAGGGTTGCAGGCTTGGCTGCTACAACTTTCAGGTCTATAAACCCTAAGCGCAGCAGCCTAAAACCCTACACCCCAAAAACCAAGCCCTAAAGCCCCCCAAAAAGCCCTGAAGTCCAAAACCCTACAAAGTCCTACATGTACTAAACTCCAAGCTTAGAGGGCGATGCGTCATCAGAGCTTCCCTGAGGTCAGGAAGGGAGGAGGTCGAGTTCCCGATGTACACCGTGGAGATGCAGGCCTTTCTCCTATAAAGAGGCTGAGTAGGTAACCTTTAGCCTGTTGGGGCCTATATATAATTCTACTATAATTCAAAAGGAGGTTAACTTGTTTTGGGCTAGGGTACTCAGCCCCTCAGTGCTTCAGATGATCAAACCTGCATTTCAGAAAAACCCAAACCCGAATAACAGTCCCTAAACCCCTAAACCCTAAACCCTAATTTAAAAACCTATACAAAATCCTAATAGCAAGGGATATCAGCCCTAGTTTATAATCGTGAAAGCCTAAACCCTAAAAAAAAACGTACATAAAGCCGTCAGGGCAAGGGATATCAGCCCTAACTGCCATGCAGGCCCTCCTTGAGATGACGGAGCTGAAGCCCTACGAAGCCACTCAGCTCTCCAACCGGGTTTGGGTCTTTGGGTTTAAGGGGCTTTCGGGTTTAGGTTAGGGCTTAGGATTTAGGGTTTCGGTCTTAGGGCGTAAAGGGCTTTAGGGTTTAGGTTAGGGTTTAGGGTTTAGGGTAGGGTTTGAAGGGCTTTGGGTTTAGGGGTTGGGTTTGTAGGTCTTAGGGAATACGGGTATCCTGAACAATCAACCTATCCGCACAACGGTGGCTCAGGTAAGGGTTGAACTCTACAGTAGCCATCCGCCTCTCCAAAAATAGGGGACCCTAATATAGTAATTACCCTAAATAGTACGATCCTTAGAATAAGGACTCCAAAATAAGGTGCCGCTAATTTTCGGAAACTCCCGTGTAGTTTAGTACTATTCCGGAAGTTCGGGCCTTTTCTGCCCTTTTGTCAAGTTCCCTTCCCACACCCTAAAGCCCTACACCAAAAAAAAGCCTTGAAAACCTTCAAACCCTATTGAACCGGTAGAAAGCCCGCATGAGCCTCTTATCAAGCCCCACACCATGAACCGTTCAATTCACCAAGGAGATGCGGGCTATGGGCCGCCTGACCGAGTTCAGAGAAAGCCTGGGGCACGCGATCTTCGTCTCCCACCAGTGGGCCGGTCACCATCATCCCGACCCGAAGCATCAGCAGCTTCGGAGACCTTGCTTGAAAGATAGGAGTTGCTATAAGGGTTGCTTTTACGGATGATATATAGGCTGCTATGAGAGTTTATTCATAGGGTTATACTCTACTAGATCAGGGAACCCTGCACCCCTAAGACCTTGTAGGAGCAAGTATAGAGCCCTTCACGCAACCGTTGTTGCAACCCCTGTATTCCAAAGCTCTTTACTCCACAGGTCGGCAGGTTGAGTGTTTAGGGTCTCGGTTTAGGGTTTAGGGTTTAGGTTTTCCAGGGCTACTGAAACGTTGATGCTACAAATCCTGCATTACCCATAATAAGAAATATGCCATAATTGCCATAGTTTACGGTCCTTGAGGTAATGCAGGATTTGTTATCACCAACCGAAGGACCAGCAGACTGATCGAATGAAATGGGTTTGCAGAGGAGCTATATGCACGATAACCTCTATTCTCTATTCGGGTGCCCTTAAATCTGCTTACAGCTTGTGTACTAAGAGTCCCCCTGATCCTCTCAGTGCTGTCCGCAGCCAAGGCTTTCAAGCATCCTTCAATCATTGCATGTACTTTCTTTCTCAGATAGATGGAAATGGATACAATCCTTTATGGTTCTGTCCCTAATAATTTCCTTACGAACTGCAGGTCGAAGCTAAACCCTAAACCCCTAAACCCTAAACCCCTGAACCTTAAACCCTAAAGAAAGAGGGGCCGCATCTCCTCTGGCAGTAAGGACTTTTCAAGAAGCCATGAAGAATCTCTTGTCAGGCGTCAGCAACTTGGCTTTCCAGGAAGCAAGCGGCTAGTGGTTTAGGTTCAGGGTTGGAGCAGTGCTGCTGAAACCTGTAAGCGAGTTTCTGACAAGGAGGCTCCTGTTATGGTATAGCGATATTTAAGCATCGGGTTCTCAGTTTTCCTTGTCTAGGGGGTGGGAGGTCCGTACAGGTCTGTACACTCTGACTGAACTTTGTGATTTTGCTGAAAATCACATGTTGACAGGCAGGCCGAGAAGCAACCTGTGACTTTCAATTCCCCTTGAAGCCTGATACAAGAAACTACTTTTTCAAAACAGCTAGGGGAGTAGCTGCAGCTTCCCTAAACCCTAAACCCTAAACGAAAACAGGTGACTGAATGCCGAACTCCGAGCCCTCCAACACTCAACCCTGAACCTTCCAGCTTGGAACTCTGCATTCTAATCCCTTGAGCTCTACAACCTTAAACGCCGAGCCTGGACACGGAAGACTGCACTATATGCCCTTCTGACCTGAACCCCGCTGTTTATGTGTAGGGTTAGTTTTTACAGGAATTACAGACCCTCAACTGGCGATCCCCGTGAGAGGCAAGGTTCGACTTCCCATCTCTGCAGAGCTGGCTTTCGGCCGCTTACAGTGCCCAAGTGCAGCTCGCCCTCACCCAGACCCCCGGAAGGATCCAAAAAGTAGATCCCTTAATGGGGGTTCCTACAAAGTACACTTAGTAGTATAGGGCCCCAAATTAGGAGATCTATTTTCCAGATCCTCCCGGGGGTCTGAGCAGTCAGTCGCAAGCTGCACAGTCGCCTTGCAGGTTGGGGGTTTCGGCTTTAGGCTTGGCTTTGCGAGTCTTTGGTCTCTATGGTTTGTCCGTGGAAGAAAGTTTGCAAAATTCCAACATTTGAGGGAAGAGAGAGAGGGAGATCCAGAGTGAGAGAGACAGAGAAGGGGAGAGGAGAGGAGATAGTCGCGGGTACATCGGGGAGCCGGAAAAGCACAGACCTGCCTGAGAGCTGCGCCAGTAGGATTCTTGCAACTACCTTAAGGCTCCATAGTAGTTCCTTTGAGGGGCTCATAAATACGAATCCTATAGCGTACTCCCAAAAAGGAACTACCATGGAGCCTCTGGGTAACCCTAGAGCCCTAAACCCGCGAACTCTAAGCTTTGCATGCCCCAAGATCCTCTCAGGCTGGTCCAGTCTGGTCTAGTATAGGTTGAGGGTTTAGGGTTTGGGGTTTAGGGTTTAGGGTTTAGGGTGTGGGCAGGTAGGCCACTTGGGGTCCCTGGATTGCAACCCCACTCCGAAATCGAACACCTTGAACCCTTCTGCCTTAAACCCGAACCCCATTCCCGAAACCCCCTTCTCTCTATAGTAGTAGGGTAGGCAACCTTTAACCTTTTTGGGGTAGTATACTCCCTATATTATAATCCCTATATAACCA